CTGCTCCCCAGGTAGGAGCTGATAGGCTTATCACACGGGGCTCTTACAGCCCCACTTAGGCTCTCCCTTGAGTTGCAGGAGAGGAAAATGAAAGATTCTCCATCATTTAAGAAGCCATCACTTTGTCCTAAACAGTTAAGAATTCGCTCTTGAAAGCTCAAAAATGAAATCCTGTTCTCCCATATTCTAGAAATACTAGACCACACATTGGCCTGACGTCCTTCATTTCTAACAACAGTGGTGCCCACTGCTCAGCTCACATGTGCAGACCGCCTTCTTGCGAGCACAGCACGGTGATGTTGCAAGAACATCACCAGATTGCAAAAAATGTTTATAGGCAAATATGTTCAGCATCTGAGTAATTTAAGTAGTAACTTTTCAAACAGATGTTGTCTCTTTGGCCCCTCGCTTTCCCCACCCTGCTCAGCTTGCTCAGCACGGGCTGGCCGCCCGCCTCCGTGCAGGCACAGCGCCGTGACGTAACGCGGTGCGCGATCCCTGCATGGCAAGGATGCTTCCGCACAGATTTGTTTACCATCTCACTAACCTAAATAGTAACTTCCATAATAGGTGCTCTCTCTCTGCTGCATTTTGTGTATGTTGCCGTGAGACACACACACACAGAAAAGTGTATCTTTATACAATGATTGCAATAACAGATGAATAAACACGCAACCTGATACTTCACATCTGCTATTTCATCACTCCAAATACCTTATTCGCATTCAAATATATTTAATACTGTGGAAACTTTATAAGGTATTGATGTCTTTATAGAGGCAGTAACTTGCATAGAACTTTTAAAATTAAAAGCAATAGTAAAAATAATTTGTACCATGTTACCTTATTCTTCATAAAGCCAGCTGGTTTCCTAACAGAAACCCAGGGAGACACAGAACAGTACTAGTGAATTACAGAATCACTGAAGTTCTACAGATATGATTTTCTTTTTGCTGATTTACCAGTTCAAAGTTCAATTCTAATATCTAATTTAAAGAAGGCGCTTTGGAAACAAAGAATATTTTTTTACTCATCATGCAAAAATTGTAGTATCTGAGCAGATTTTTTTTTTTTTTTTTGACAAAAGTACCATTTCTCCTTCACTATCATAGTAAGTTAGGGCAAGAAATTTTATGCATGAGCTAACAAATGCATATAACCATTGTGAAGAGCTGCTTTGTACCTTCTCATTTTAAATAGGGCTCATTAATTTTTTATAACACAACTAAATGGGCTCTGAAACTTTCTTTTTAAATAGTCACTAATACCCTTTAAAATAGTTTAGTTCTGTAGCTGTGAGTTAGTGGAAGTCATGATGGCTAATTTGATTCATAACTGAAAAAGATGGAAGATCAAGCTATTTTCCTACTGTGATGGCAAAAGCCATCTTTGCTACCGTAAAGCTAAGTCAGCAACATGGATGGCAACAGGTCTGCAGGCTTTTTTACACTTACCGACAATTTTGACTTTGACATTTTGGCATAGATTTGGTATAAATTTTGAAATAAGGTGGAAACACACAGTGGGCCCAGTCCATTGCTGTGGTAACTCCAGTGCCTTCAGTGTTGCAGCAGGGTAAAAGTAGGGCTACATTTCACAGCAGCTTTCATTCTTCTAATTTTTTCCAAAATACCCTTGCAGAAGCAAAGACAAGCTCAGGCAAATCTCTTGCCAATAAGTGAGTTCACAGGAATTGTTACAAGTAACTGAACTGTCAGCAGTAAGAGACTGACAATTTGAATGAAGTACAAATACAGGACAGCCAATGCCCTCTAATGGGCTACAGTTTTATTCTGTGCTAGATAAACAAAAAGGGAGAAAGTCACTATAACTGATCTCTGCAAGGAGAAATAAATTATAGGGTGTCCCACTTCATATTTGTGTGTTATAGCTCCATTTTATTTATTTTTTTTTTTAAATAGAGTAATACACACACAAAGAAGATCTTGCTAATACCTTGCAAAACACATGAAAGGTGGATCTAAGAATGGATTGTCTCTTGCTTGGCCTTTGCGCAATTGCTTCTGCAAAAAAGCAGAGCATCAGTTTATGGATGAGTATCTCTACTCTGGTGCAAGCTTCCATAATTATTTATTTATATTTACTGCTGGGCAATACTGCAGTAGCAGCAAACCCAAAAACTCGCACAGCCACACATGCACATGGGGAAACAACAGAATACTTGGCACTGTTTTCCTGCAGAAACCTTATCGCTAGTGATTTGGCTTTACTTCAAACTCCCTTTCTCTCAAGAATTCCCAAATCAAAATTGCTGGAATTTGACCTTTTGAGTCAAATGAAGTATCTTTGTTTTTTACCCAATTACTTTCTATAAATTTAAAAACACAGATTACTTTTTCCTTCCTCCCTTCTGGCTTTTTCAATAGCTGTGTTCCTGTGCTGGTGTCAGCCTCACATGGGACACAACTGCCCCATGGGCCCACTTTGTCCATGGGCCATCAGCACCGCCGGTTGGGCCCCCTCCTGCTTAAACAATCCTCAAAGTCCCTCCAAGTGGAGGGTCAAGCAAGCCAAAGAGCCAGTTTTGGAGATGTCAGTTCCAAGGACCATTCTGGATGGCCACGAGGAGCAGTGCAGAAATGCTGGCTGCTGCATAAACGAACGCTGCAAAGTTCTCGTTAAATCATGGGCAGAGACTTAAAATGTTTCTTCAAGCAAAATCTCTGCCCTTCTCAAAGTCTCGCTCAGAAAATAAAAAAGTACCATTGCTTAACTTAATACACACAGCCTGATCACTGTATTTGCTCCTGTAAAGATCATATTTGTTCTAGTGCCTATATCTAAAGCTAATTCCAGTCAGAAAATGAAACGCTGCTCTCTTGACCTTTTGTCTTGCATGGCGCATGAATTACTGACACATTACAATATCCCCCTACACTATGGACGCTTAGAGATATTGCAATGTCTCTCTTGTAAGTGAAATAAACTTGGTATGCCACTAAAAGGCATTAAATTATTTTCATTATGCCACACAGAATCTAAAACACTTACACTGTTTTGATTTCAAAATCCTTGGAGAACAATTATGCTCTCAGGGCCATAAGACTCTATTATAAAGTCCTCAGAAACCTAGTATGGTTTCAATAAATCCTCAAACACTACAAAGCAGTTACTCAGCTTGAAGAATGAAAACATGAGTTCATCCACTATAAAGTCCGGGTGTAAATTCTGCTAGTATAGGATTCTACACTTCCTAATGCATTTCTTCTTCATAATCAAGGCAACACTAAGTCAAGCTTTCACCATCAAAGGTTTTTGATTAAAAACTACCAATATTTGTTTTAGGATAGGCATGAATATCATATACAACTATATGTGTATGGTATTATTGGGTAGAATTATTAATTAGGAATTAATCTGTGTAGATTTTTTTGCATATATATATATTTATAAACAAATGTCATCAATTCAGGACTAGAGAACTGTTTAAAATGAGTGCCTGTCACAAAGAAAACCTTTCATGGAAAAAAATACGTTAATTTCTTTCATTTACACAATATCACAAATAAAGCTTTAAAATATCAGAAACCAGATGTCAGGAGTGATATACTGTAGATGCAGGGATCCCGATTTAAAAAAATTGCTGTCAAACCCTATTTTGGCTCCTGAGGCTGTTCCAGCGAAAGTACAGCTCTTAACCATAAATACACAATAAACTTACTTGTATATACACACTTATGTCCTCCTAGAAAGAGTTTAACCCTCTAGTTGAACAGTTTTTCCCCCTTTTCCATGGAAAAAAACAGCAGCGACCCACAATCAAAAGAGCCGGAAGCTGGCAGAAAGCAGAGGATAAGAGAAATTATTCTCTCCAGCACAGGAAGGGAGAGAAAGGGAAGAAAAGGGAAGAAAAAGAAAAAAAAAAGAGCGAGCAGGAAAGCAGGAAGTTCGTGCCGGCGGCAGCCGAGGTGCCTCCCGGCAGCCCGTGTCGCCGCCGGCGCTGCGCTGGGCCGCGGGGTCACATGGCAGCTGGGCCTGGACGCGCGCTGGCTCCTGCCGCCCGCGGGGGCGCAGGCCGCGCGGCCCCCCCGCCACGAGCGCGGCCCCGTTTCCATTACCTCATGCGGGG